CTCAATAATTTCATCAGGAAACTAGTTTCTTTCAGCTTCTTTTGCTCTGCCATCCAGAGTTTTAGATTTGCTCTATTTCTCCCCGGTGATAGAATGACAGGTAATAGGAATCAGGACTACATCATCCTTCACTCACATCCAGCAGAAGAGGCAGGTTCAATTTTGGAAGCTCACCTACAAGAATGAAGAGGAACTTACCCACAAGTCTTCAGAAAACTGCTGCCTCTGTCCCATTGGCTCGGATTTGCTTACCTAATGATTCCTAAAACAGTCATTAGCTTGGGAGAGGAATTAGACCTCCACCTCCTGCAACTGAGGGTGATTGAACTTTTCCTGAGGCTCAGAACTTTGTCAGTAAGAAGTGAATACCTGATAGAAAATCAAGTTTCTTTTCTGTAAAAGGAAATGGATAACACGTAACCAGTCAACAAGGACCACCATGAAAGTGTTAGGTAAGCCTAGGAAAAGAACATTTGAGGGGAAGTCATCAACATTGTCAAATGCCAAAGAGAGGTCAAAGTATGAATTAAAAACAAACAAACAGATTCCATTAGACTAGTGATGAGGAGGAGGAGACTCAGAGAGTCTATAGATTCTGATTGAAGTAGATGGAGGGTGACTGCAAGGCGAGAAAGAGGACATGGTGTATGACTGCCATTTTAACATTTTGAGTTTTGAAGAATAACAATAATACAGAAGCCAGAGGGGAAAATTAATGAGAGGAAGGGTTTTTCCAATTATCAGTTAAATGTTTCAAAGTCTAGCCAGTGGTAACTTGTGGAAGGAGCATTCACTGGCTGCTAATTAGGAGAATTGTGTTCTGAAGAAGACTCTTCCGGTGACCTGTTGTATGAACTTAGTCAACTTGTCAAGCCGTCTTTGGGTCCTCATTTATTTAAAAAGACAGAGTGCACACTATTTATTATCCCACAGAGTAGAATTCAGAAATATTTTAAAAGAAGAGAAAAATATTATATTTTAGGGTTTTTTTTTCCTTTAATTTGTGTGTGTGTTGTTTTAAGAGAGATTTTAAATGTTATACTCCATTCAATTTTCAGTAAATTATTTATTTGGGGACTGGAAATAGAACATTTTTACTTTCTGCCACATTACTTCGCCTAAGGCTAAAATTTATATTTTGCATAGAATGTAAGAAAATGCTTAATCTCAGGTAAAACTGTGCACTAGAAAGCACAGTGTGTGGTGCATGGTACGACTCATCAAATGATTGTAAAGGATATTCTTTATATTTAAGGATGAAAAATTTAATTAGAGTTTGTTGGCCACAATATTAGATTCTTTATACTAGAACCACATTTTTTTTTTTTTTTACTGATCAGAGAATTGATCCAAAAATAAATAAATAAAACTATCACACACCAAAAACAAACAAACAAAACTAGTAATATGGAGAGGTGCAATAAAGTCTAAGTAACTAGGACTAACTAAGGAGCTCGGTTCAAATTACTGGAAAATTCATTCACACCTTCAATAAATACTAATTGAGCACTTACAATGTGTTAGGCACAGTTCTAGGCACTAGGAATACAGCAGTGAACAAAAACTTCCTGCTGTCATGGAGTATATATTTAGGAAAAAAAAACCCGTTGCCATCGAGTCAATTCCGACTCATAGTGACCCTATAGGACAGAGTATAACTGCCCCGTAGGGTTTCCAAGAAGAGCCTGGTGAATTCAGCCCTGCTGACCTTTTGGTTAGCAGTCAAGCTCTTAACCACTACCAACAGATTGGCAGTTTGAGCCCACGCAGCGGCTCTGAGGAAGAAAAGACCTAAGGATCTTCTCCTGTAAAAATTACAGCCTAGAAAATCCTGTGGGACAACTCTACTGTGTCACATGGGGTGCTATGAGTTTAAATCGACTGAACGGCAAACAACAACAATGGGATAATAGGCAATTATTTGGAGGCAGGAGGATTTGTTCTCTTCTATAAGAGGGTCAAGGAAGTCTCTCTGAATAGGGAATGTTTGAGCAGAGAAACAGACCTGGAGGATATCTGGGGGAACTGTGTTCCAGGGGAAAAAAGTATCAAGTGCAGAGGCCTTAATCTGGCATTGTGTTTGGCATATTTGAAGAACAGCAGGGCAGGTAGGGGAACAGAGGAGGCTAGGTCTCTGAGTAAAGGGAAACACTTAGGAGATGAGATCGGAGAGGTGGGGCATCATGTAAGGAAGTAAGGTGAGGAATTTGCTATTATTTTTAGAGGGATAGGCAGGCATTAGAGGGTTTTAAGCAGAGGACTGACTTGATTTCAGTTGGTTATTTAAAAAATTGCTCAAGCTGATTTAGGAGAATAGCTTGTTACAGAGCAAGTGTTAAGCTGGGATATAAAATTGAAACAAATGAAACTTTTTTCTTTTAAATGTATAACAAAATCAAGCTACCCACCCAGGAAGTTTTCCAAGTAATGGTACTGACAGATCTACTTTAATAAATAGAAAATATTGGTTTGTAATTAGCACGGTAACTATTTACACAGAAACCAGTTGATACTGGTTAACCATTCCTCGTGCAATCTTTTGTATTTGGTGAACCTTGCTTTGTAGCAGGTGGATTATAAACCACTCCTTTTGTATTTGGTGAACCTTGCTTTGTAGCAGGTGGATTATAAACCACTCCCGCACTACCACTTCACCCTGACAAATTATCACATATTATTGAGATCAATGTCATTAAAATCCATCATATTATCACATTTTGTTGTAAAGAGTTACATTAGAAATGTTTTTGTCAAGTGTTTAGGAAATGTTCAAGTGCTTTAAATTTAGAGCATTGTGTGTTCCCCTTAAATGTTAATGGTTGGAACACATCTAAGTTTATACAACATTTAAAAAGCTTTTTGGCAGTGACATTCATGGGACAGTGATTCCCAAAGCTCCTCTCATCCTACATTTTATAGGGTAAACAGCAGCTTATTTCAAAACTTGGGGGCTGCCATTTATTTTTTCCAGACAGAAGTTATAGAATGATGCTTCAAGTTCAACAAGCCTATGATTTTATTTTTGGAAAACAAATGAAAAGTAAACATGGCACATGAGCCTACTAAAATATTCAATCTGTTTGATATTCTCCCCCAAGACTTTCATCTTGCATGCCTACCATAGAGCATTATTTAATAGTCTCAACATTTGCAAACCACCAATCATTTCCTATGGGACCTTAAAAAATGTCAGCATTGAATTCTCGGCAGTAAGTGGTGCCTCCCACCTGGGAAAAAGACAGCCCTGTAATTGAATCCCAACATATGCAGTGTCTTCCCTCCTGCCTGCCCCTCTGGTGCTACAGCAAATTAAAAGATCTCGAAGGCTCAGCCTGCCTCCCAGCTGCCAGCCCCTGGTAGACATGATGGAGCCAGAAAGGACCAGGTGGAGCAGTTTTGAGTTGCAATAAACACACCGCGTAAAGGAGATTGGCTGTAACCTTCCAATTGAATATTTATACCAGCCCCATTTCTCATCTTGCTCTTTGGCACCAATCTGAGTGCTGAGTTCCTGCTGATTTCAAGGGTGCTGCATTGTGTTTGGACCTGCTCCGTGAAGTATTAACGCCAGATGAGAAATGGGCCCCAGTTTCCTATCACTAAGATGACTAGTTGACTATTTTTTTGTATGGAGACTATCATGTGTTAGTGTCATAAGGATGGAGCAGTAGGGGAGTTCCCTGAAATCTCTGGGCATTGCTGTTCCATGAAATGCACACAGCCTCGTCCACTGCCTCCCACGGAGTGTGGAGTGGAAGTGTAATTGCTTATATTAAGGGTTTGTATATTGCTGCATTTTCTGTCTTTGGCTCAGAGGTTGTATTTTTGTTTGTTAAGGCCAAGCACTTATCACAGGGTCCCCTCATCATATTTCACATACTGATCCCTCATGGCAGGTGCTAACTTCATTGCACTCAGAGTGAATGGGTTGAATAACCTCATAAAAAAGAGACAGAATGTCTTGGCGTAGAAAAGAAAGGAGTACAGAATGCTTGTCTGTGGAAGAGTCTCAGTGATATTTAGTGAACCCGTAAACCCGAGAAGATATTTGGAAAACCAACTATACACATCCATTAACTTTTTCTAGGTGGCAGATCACAGACTTAAATTCACATTCCTGTTTCCCAATCCTTGTTGTTATCTAATAATGTACACTTGTTGTGTGGATTTTATCATCAGATTGGCTTAAGAAAAAGCGTTTTTCATTGTTTCTTTATGTTATGTAATAAACTATAGGTCAGTGAGCTTCTTGTGAAATCACTGATTGTAAAATGAAGTTGTTAGATAATTAAATGGTGAAGAATTAGAAAGGGGGCTTTGATCATAAGAAGTCGGCATAGGTTGTCTAAGTAAAAGGCACATCAGAGTAACCTCACAGTCTTTTTTGACAGCAGTACCAGAAAAGAGGAATAAACGCATACATTGCAATAGATATATACGGAATTCTACAAGGTATATGTCAAAGTCTCTTGGTACATTTATAATTAAAAGATAGCAAAATGTATGCTGAATAATAGTACTAGTATTGGCTTAATAACTGTCCTCCAGGAGATGATATGAATCAGGAGGTTCTCCTCTAGTGCCCTCTTTAAGACTTGTCCGTGACCTTGCCCTGTTCAACATGTTTATTGGTGATTTAGCATTGAAGGTATGTTAAGAATGTTTATGGGTTGCCTGGCACTGAGAAAGATACTACATTGGACAGCAGAATCAGAATCCAAAAGGACAGACTCATACAATGGATTTAGTCTAACAGGATGGCATTCATGGGGAACAAATGAAAAGCTGTTGACTTGAGTTCCAAATGCCAACTGCATACGTAGTGGCAGGGAGGAAACAGTGCTGTAAAGTATCACATGGGACAAAGACGGGTTTAGTCGGCTGGGATGTCAGCATGAGTCAGTGCCGTAAAGTGCCTGACAGCAAAGCTAATGTACTCTTTAGGCTACACTGATGGGTCCAGTGTGAGAGTTGGAATATCACTGCCCTATTTTGTGCCAGTAGCTGACGTTAAGACTGTGGATCCCACAGTTTAACAGAAAAAAGAAAAAACCCTGAAATTTCCTCGTAAGAGAACACTAAGAAGATAAAGGAGTTTGAAATGCTGGCCTAAGTGGACTGAAGGAACTGGAGATGCCCAACCTAAAGACAAAAGACTCTGGGTCATGAAAACTGTCTTTGATGTTGGAAGGGATGTTTTGTGAAAGAAGATTTAGACTTGACCCATGTCAATGGGTGAGTTTTCTTATAGGACGAAAGTTCCAGGGAACTCGTATATAGACAACTCTTTCTAATAGCAGGCTTCCAGGAAACTGTATAAAGAACTTCCTAATTAGTAAGAATATCTGAAAAAAAAGAATGACTGCCTTTTAAGAAAACAATTTTGTTGATACTAGAAGTTTTCCAGCAGACAAACTAGGCATTTGTTGGCAGCATTGTAGACGTGATTGTAGTACTACCCGTTACCCGTTGCCATTGAGTCGATTCCAACTTATAGAGACCCTATAGGACAGAGTAGAACTGCCCCATAGAGTTTCCGAGGAGCAGCTGGTGGATTTGAACTGCAAACCTTTTGGTTAGCAGCTGTAGCCCTTAACCACTGTGCCACCAGGGCTCTGATAGTGGTACTAGTTGACATTTATTAACCACTTAATATATGCTAAACTTTGTGCAATTTATTTGTGTGACTTTGTTTAATTCTGTAGTGTATATTGTTGTTGTTGTTGTTAGGTGGCATCAAGTCGGCTCTGACTCATAGTGACCCTATGTACAGCATTGCCCGGTCCTGCACCATTCTCATAATCATTGCTATGCTTGAGCTCATTGTGGCAGCCACTGTGTCAGTCCATCTCGTTGAGAGTCTTCCTGTTTTTCACTGACCCTCCTCTTTACCAAGCATGATGTTCTTCCCGAATGACTGGTGCCTCCTGATAACATGTCCAAAGTACGTGGGACAAAGTCTCACCATCCTTGTTTCTAAGAAGCATTCTGGCTGTATTTCTTCCAAGACAGATCTGTTCGTTCTTTTGGCAGTCTATGGTATATTCAGTATTCTTCACCAACACCAGAAGAACAAGCAAATCTGTCTTATAAGAAGTACAGCCAGAATGCTCCTTAGAAGCGAGGATGGCGAGACTTTGTCTCACGCACTTTGGGCATGGTATCAGGAGGGACCAGTCCCTGGAGAAGGACATCATACTTGATAAAGTAGAGGGTGAGCCACAAGAGGAAACCCTCACGAGATAGACTGACAAAGTGGCTGCAACAATGGTCTCAAAGAGCAAAGATTGTGAGGATGGCGCAGGATGGGGCAGTGTTTCATTCTGTTGTACATAGGGTTACTATCAGTTGGAACCCACTCAGCAGCACCTAACAACAATAACATCTCTTTAGAACCTGAAGTTCTGTCATTTTAATAGAGAATCATCTTTAGTTTATATATTATGTCATTACTTTGCTGTTTTTTGTTCAACTCAAGGCCTATAGTCAGTATCAAAAACGGTTATTTATTAATACAATAAAATGTCTGATCCTTACTGTTAGGATTTTCCTTAGAAAAAGGGTCAGTATGTTTTTTGGTATAATTGATAGTATTAATGCTTTGATTATGGTCTTACTTCTTAATCCTACACGTTGCTAGAGGAAAATAATTTCCTGCCTCATTATCCATGGTTTGTAACTGATCTGGACAGAAACTTGAGCCCAGTACCATTCAAATAATGTTTGGAGAATCAGTTGGGTTTTTGTTTACTTCTTTGTTTTTCAATGAAGGAGTGCTTTTGAAAACCACAATTTAGAGGAATATTCCTGTTATTTTAAAATATTTATTAATAGTACTTAAAAAAAAAAAGAAAACATGTTTTATCTGGATTATTTATTAGAATCAGTAAAGAAAGGGCCAGAATTGTAGGTCTCTGGACCTGCTGAAAGCTCTGGAAAAGCAGCACTATAAAAGTGTCCAGAGAACAGTGTGTTCATGGCTTTATTTGCTGTCAGTCCAGGGCCTGAGGTCAGCCTGGCAGACGGGTCACTTGCACTCAAACATTCATGCTGACCTCGGGGACAGGCATGAAGTCACTTGCAAATGGGAAAAACAGCTCCCTTTCTTTATGCATGGCTCACTCCACTGACCCCTGTTCTTAGGGGACTTACTCCTCTTATGTACCCTTTTCTCTTCAGCTGAACCCAATTCCAACCAAATGAGCTAGTGATGGCCTTCTTCCAGGACTGTCAGTCCATCTGATCAGTGACATAGACATTATGCAGCAGAGATGATCGTCATCTCCCTGACTGCTGGCAGAAGAGAAACTGGTTAAGGTCTGCAGCTGTGACGTGGGTTTCTTGGGTCTAATCTGAAATGTAAGGAGCCCTGGTGGTGCAGTGGTTAAGCGCTCGGCTGCTAACCCAAAGGTCAGCACTTCGAATCTACCAGCTGCTCTTCGGAAACCCTGTGGGGCTGTTCTGCTCTGCCCTATAGAGTCACTATGAGTCCGAATCAGCTTCACGGCAAACAACAACAGCAACAGTCTGAAATGTGTTGGTCTAAGATGACCTGGCATTGTTACCTGATGTTCTCAAAGGCCTGTACTTTTTCCAGAGGAGTGCAAACTAGTAATGAGTAGTGACACATCCCAGAGTCTTTCATCAGATCTATTTTAAACCACAATAAGTTGCTGAGTCACTCTATTATTATTTTTTTCTACAATGGCTTTTTGTACCCACGAAAACCATCTTTTACAGACACACACGCACCTCATTTGAGAGATCTAAAAGTGCACATATAATTTGAGATTTCCCACCCACGTTTGCATCAGAGAACTAATCCCTCCTCCTTCCAGTTATCCCATTGTTTCACCACAGTCTGCAAGCTTTTTGAAGATACTTTGTACTTCTAGAATTGTTCGAGAATATAGTAGATGCTCAAGCAGAATTTGTTGAATTAAACTAAGTTTGATGCCAAGTAACTCAAATAACTCCATCTGCCTTTTTTCTATATTTCTACTTAAATAATTGTTTATTAGCACCTGTAAGTACCGTATACTATTTCAGGCATAGGTGAAAGAGCAATGAACAAAACAGAAAAGAACTCTTGTCCTAATGGAGCCTACACTCTAATCATATAAGTGAAAACTGATGTTGTTATTCCTACTTCCAGCTAAGGAGAATTGAAGCTCATAGTATGTAGAAAAGGAGGTTATGAGCAAAGCAAATACCAGAACTCTTGCCCTGAAACTCAATCTGAAGATCAAAATACAAATTTGCTAATTAGATAGACTGTAAGAATGTGGGAAATAGAGCTGTGAATAAGAAGTGTGCATTTTATGCAAAGAGGAAGAGCTGGCATGAGAGTGTCTTTGAAAGTCTAGAATACTTAAATGTTTCTTGGGTCATGAACAATTGATGGAGTCTCAGCCTATAAATAAATAGGGCCATGACTCATTACCAGGATACGTGCAGAATGAATCATGGTTTCTGAGTTAGAGTAGACTATAAAGTGCAGAAATAGATTTTAAGTGTATATTTCAGTCCATTGCAAATAAGTTCCGTCTACACTACAGAAGAATTTCAGAAAAAAAGCAAGAATCTAGTTGTCTTGGTCCTGAAATTCTTCTTAATTTTCTTATCTATGAAGTTTTGTGTTTATTGTTGTTATTAGGTGCCATTCAGGAGGTTCTGACTCATAGTGACCCTGTGTACAAAAGAACAAAACACTACCCTTTTCTGTGCCATCCTCACAGTTGTTGGTATGTTTGAGCCCACTGTTGCAGCCACTTTGTCAGTCCATCTCATGGAGGGTCTTCCTCTTTTTCACTGACCCTCTATTTTACTAAGCATTATGGATTGAATTGTAGCCCCCAAAAATGTGTGTCAACTTGGCTAGGCCATGATTCCCAGTATTGTGTGGTTGCCAACCATTTTCTCATCTGATGTGATTTTCCTATGTGTTGTAAATCCTACCTCTATGATGTTAATGAGGCAGGATTAGAGACAGTTATGTTAATGAGGCAGGACTCAATCTACAAAATTAGGTTGTATTTTAAGTCAATCTCTTTTGAGATACAAAAGAGAGAAGTGAGCATAGAGACAGCGGGACCTCATAGCACCAAGAAAGAAGCACTGGGAGCATAGCGTGTTCTTTGGACCCAGGTTCCCTGTGCTGAGAAGCTCTTCAACTAAGGAAGATTGATGACAAGGGCCTTCACCAGAGCCAACTGAGAAGGAAAGCCTTCCCCTGGAGCACCCTGAATTTGGACTTCTGTCCTCCTAAACTGTGAAAGAATAAATTTCTCTTTGTTAAAGCCGTCCACCTGTGGTATTTCTGTTATAGCAGCACTAGATGACTAAGACAGCCAGTGAAAACCTTATGAATAGCAGTGGAACATTGTCTGATATAGTGCCGGAAGATGAACCCCCCAGGTTGGAATGTATTCAAAGATGACTAGGGAAGAGCTTCCTCCTCAAAGTAGAGTCAACCTTAATGATGTGGATGGAGTAAAGCTTTCGGGACCTTCATTTGCTGATGTGGCGTGTCTCAAAATGATAAGAAACAGCTGCAAACATCCATTAATAATCAGAGTGTGGAATGTACGAAGTATGAATGTAGGAAAATTGGAAGTCGTCAAAAATGAAATGGAATGCGTATCCTAGGCATTAGTGAACTTAAATGGACTGGTATTGGCCATTTTGAATCAGACAGTCATATGGTCTACTGTGTAGGAATGACAACTTGAAGAGGAATGGTGTTACAGTCATTGTCAAAAAGAATATTTCTAGATCTATCCTGAACTACAATGCTGTCAATGACAGGAAAATATCCATACGCCTACAAGGAAGACCAGTTAATATGACTATTATTCAAATTTACACACCAACCTTTAAGGCCACAGACGAATAAATTGAGGATTTTTACCAGCTTCTGCAGTCGGAAATTTATCAAACATGCAGTTGGAATGCACTGATAATTATTGATGATTGGAATGCGAAAGTTGGAAATGAAGAAGGGTCGGTAGTTGGAAAATATGGTCTTGGTGATAGAAACAATACTGGAGATCACATGATAGAATTTTGCAAGACCAGCGACTTTGTCATTGCAAATGCCTTTTTTCACCAACATAAATGGTGACTGTACGCATTGACCTTGCCAGATGGAATACACAAGAATCAAATGGACTGCATCTGTGGAAAGAGATGATGGAAAAGCTCAATATCATCAGTCAGAACAAGGCCAGGGGCTGACTGTGGCTGAACAGACCATCAGTTGCTCATATGCAAGTTCAAGTTGAAACTGAAGAAATTTAGAACAAGTCCACGAGAGCCAAAGTACAATCTTGAGTATATCCCACCTGAATTTAGAGACCACCTCAAGAATAGATTTGATGCGTTGAACAGTAAGGACCGAAGACCAAACAAGTTGTGGAATGACATCAAGGACATTATACATGAAAAAAGCAAGAGGTCATTAAAAAGACAGGAAAGAAAGAAAAGACCAAAATGGATGTCAGAAGAGACTCTGAAACTTGCTCTTGAACGTTGAGTAGCTAAAGCAAAAGGAAGAAATGATGAAGTAAAGGAACTGAATGGAAGATTTCAAAGGGCAACATGAGAAGACAAAGTAAAGTATTA